TTAATACGCAATTTTGTCAAAATGATATAGACATGATGGTGTGAATGAATGAATATATGATAGAAAATATAATTTAAAGTTGATCAATATAAATAATAAAATATTTGATAAATTGGTAGTTAGATATATATGAGTGGATCAATAATATTTTTGGTCAAAAAAATACATATACAACGATTAGGAGTTTTGTGTTTTTGGTTCTTGTTTGTGTTAGGAGTTCTGTGTTTTTGGTTAGTTTGTCACGAGTGTTTTATTCTAGCGTTGCTAATCGGGATCCTAAGCAGTCTTATTACATCTTCTCCCACTTTTTCAGCAGTTGGTTGTTCATTCAGCTAGGACTGCTTGTATTTGTACATTTGTGCATTTTGATTTATAGTAATATCTATCGTTTTGGGGGAAAAAAAAGACGACTACTTTACTTAATATGTTATATTGTAAAAAAGTTGAAATGTCGAATCATTGTCAAGGAATGCATAATAAACGATCTCATCTTTTTCATCGGGTACGGGTCGAGACCAAAGATCTTGAGCAACCAATCCGCCAGAACAACTCAAAAGATAAAGAAATATTGTTAATTTCTTCATGCTCGTTCCAAGTTCAAAGTACTATCTGTACAAATAAGAATCGGAATAGTATTTTTTCTTAATATTTTTTTTATATATTTGTTGTCTGAATGAAATAAATCTTGATTTAAAAAAATATTGTTTCCAATAGCATCTAGTAGTGATTAACTGAGGCCACATAAAATTAGAAATTTGAGGAGTAAAAAGTTATTAATTACCGTAACGCTTCAGCTAGGCCTATTGGAAGCTCCGGTAGTGGGGGTCCTGGACAACGGATCTAGTTGTGCGATGGACGATGGTGGCCTTTTTCTAATGGTCTTGGGCAGGGCTCAGTTTTTTGTTGGGAAGGGCTTTGTCTGTCTTTAGTTGAGTGTTTTTGTATGTTTCTTGTTGTGTTTAGTTTTCGTGTGTTAGTATTTTGTTTCGTGTTTGGTTGTATAGTATTTATTCTCCTCTTGGGAGCTTAATTCTCCTCTTGGGAGCTTGTGAGTGCGTTGTGCGTGTTTCGATTAGGCTGCCATTTGAGTTGTCCTCCCTTGGATTCAGCTGTGTAGCTGCTTTTTTCGGCTATTACCGGTTGTTATCTACGTGTAAATATGTGTTCTACTTATGAATTTATGTCGTTGTTCGAAAAAATATAGAAGAAAAAATACTATTACACAATTGCAATTCTCTATTATTCGTGGGCAAACCTATTGGTTACTTTAGTATTGTCAAATTTCTTCAACAAACTTCACATCAGATTCAGCATCCGCTCATGCACATTAGAACCACACTTCGTTCGGTTCGCTATCGGATCTCACACATCTTCTGCGAGGGAAACTGACCCTCCTTGCTTGCATCGGGACCTCCACTCCCCATAGGCGTATTCTTCATCCAGACGATGTCCCTCTACGTCTTCGTACCCTTATTCAGATGGACCAGATGGGCTGCCAATCGTTCAGATTTGGATAGTCGCCCCTATTTTTTGTGTTTCGGCTAACTCGTGGTGCAAACTTTTTGACTGGACTCTTCTCGGGCTAGGCTAAGATCTTTTGTATTAGTTGTTTCTTGGGTTTATTTTTTTCCGTTTGTTTTGTTTTGTTATGTTTTGAACGTTCAGACTTGTAGACTTGTAATTTTCCAACCAATTTAGGGCCTTTTATATACAGGTTGGTGGTCCAGCCTTAACCCTTCACTCTTTGCTTTTTCTAAAAAAAAAATATGCAACGAACTCCATTAAAACGACAATCAATTCGACCCTACTCGTGATTTGAAGTCTAAACGAGCTTGAGCTCGAGTTTTTAACAAGTCGAGCCGAATCGAACGCGGCTTTAATTAAACGAGTCAGTGATCGATCTCGAGCTAATCTCATTTATCAATATTTACAAGTCGAGCGCGAACTTTAATGAGCCGAATTTTAGAAAATAATATAAAAAATCTTATTTTCGAGTCTTAACGAGACAAGTTGAGCCATATTTATTAACTAAACGAGTTGGAGCTTGACTTGTTTATCAAATGAGCCGAGCCGAACTCACATGTTGTTCGTTTCATTTAACAACTCTACCCGTGACATGAAGTCACCAAGTTCTCTGTTGTTGGATTAAAATATACACACACACACACAATATTTTGCTATTGAATTAACGTATATATACACATTTACACACTCACATTAAATGAATAGCTACAATCAGTTAGGTGTACATTTTAATTTGCTTCTGTTATTTGTACCAAAAAAAAAAAAATTTGCT